ATGATTATTCGTTATAAGGCTACTTAACTACCAGTTGTTACTGGCACAGTTACTGGTTGGTATGAAATCGTACACATTTATGGAGTCAATTCTTATTTAATTCTTCAACCGTTTCAGATCCCATCTGGGAGTGTGGAGCTGAGGAGGAAGGTGCTTTAGGTTGTCTACTTTTTTACTACTTTGCACCTCAGTGCCTACCTACCGAACAGCACGCGGAGGTCACGCATCGCCTAGCGCTGACACTCAGCTTTGCAACGAGACAAAACCGGCGTACGACGCCTTCTGGCAGCGACCAAGTGGACCGAGAATCACACGAAGTGTTTCCAGGCGTTTCGTGGCAGGACCGAAAGTTCACTGTAAACTCAACACTGTAAATACGCGTTCTGGTCCTGCCAAAGCTTCTTCATTGGATTATTTCCAATGACATGCTTTGCTCAATAAGGAGGATCTTCCCCTTCCGCTAACTGCACGTGTCTCCTGCGGCATTTAACGGGGATTGCATCCGGATACACCGGCCGGGAGAACAGGTATCGCAAGTGGTACCACTCGGCGCCGGCCCTTGGACACATCGTCCTTCTGGCTACAAGACAAGTTCCTCTCTCATTTGACCTTATTAATTTTACAAGAGCCCAGCATTATTCAGTTGAATTCACCTCAAAAGACAGGGCGGAATTAAAAGACTAGCAGCATTTAGATACGCTGAGTTTCTTTTAAACGACAGCTGATTTCCAGAAGAACTTTCTTCAGTTTTTACAAGGAAATTCAATTGTTTTTCCGGAAAGAATGAAGGATGAGAAAGCTAAATTGCATTTCTCCTCTAAACTGGATTAAGGGGGAGTATTTTATTATGGGAATGTGCTTGCTCCTCCTCACGTATGTGCAATCCATGCCAGGAGCACGGAGACTGGCCGGCGCGTGAAGCGGCTGTCCTGGAAACCCACCTCCCTGCTGAGGTGACTTGAAGGTGGAGGAAGACACCCAGATGCCTAAAAAATTAAGAAATTTGCCTAGGAGCCAGTTAAGTCCCATTCAATCTCTGAAAACAGCCTGGAAGTTTCACGCGGCAGACCTGTGCCTCCCGCAGCGGGAACAGGGCTGCTCCGGCCTCGAGTGCACGTGGGATGGAAACACGGCTGCCAGAACCTCCGCCCCGGCTTCAGGGCATTATAATTTTCACTGACAAATCCTGTGACGGCACGGGTGCTCGGGCTGCGGTTGCCATTGAGCACAAGCGAAAGAAAAGCAGTTCTAACGTCTCTCCCTCTGTCGATACACGTCCCCTAGAAAACCAAATCTTGTGAAAAATACCGTGTCAGTAACATCTGCGGTTAAGAAGATACGAAAATGCTTGCTGGATGCTTACGGCTTTGCTCGCCATCACACGTTTCTGGATGACACACAAGCCACCTCGAGCTCTTGCCAAAGGGCTGCTCCGAGCCCGAGCGCGCCCGTGCAAGGAGCGAGGGGTACCACAGAGAATCGCTCCCATCCCACCTGCTTTATGCAACCCTGTCCCGCTCCTGCGGGACCCCGAGCTCACGGGACCTTTCCGTAAGCGCTACGGACGCCGACGGCAGAGGAGACGAGGCGTGGCAACCCAGGGACTCGCGGCGACGATGTTAAGGAGGAATTTCTGCTTCCGCATGGGAGAAGGTGGGGAGCAAACGCACGCGCCCGAGAAACTGGTGATGAGGAGTAGCCAGGAAGCGAGCAGCTCTGTCCGGGCGTGGGAGCAGCTCTTTCAGGCCGTGTGCCGGCGTCAGCAGCGCCGATCGCCACGGCTGGGCCAGCAGCGACCGCCCGCGACGGGACTTCCCGCACGGTTCCCATTTCCTCGGAAAACCCGAAGTGTTTGGGAACGTCTGGCCGTGGGATCTCCCGCCTGTTGCTGGCTCGGTTCCGTTCTGCCCCCGTACCGCTTGTCGTACTTCCAGAACCCGTGCGCCGGCATTTCTCCCGGGATTTTCCATTTTCAAAAGTCTCTTTTTCACTTCACATTCTTAAAACACGTGTAATGCCGCCTCTCGG